CCCGTCGGAACGCCCGTCTGGAGTAAAGACGGGCATGTTCAAGAACGACGAATCGTCTAACGCCATTGCCATCCTACTGTAGTATTCCGGTAATCCATAAAAATTGGCGGGGTAATTTGAAAAGAAGATCTGACTGGCGAGAATGATAAGATTAATAGTCCTATCGTTTACTGAAATTTATCGGGGTGATTGATGTTGATTTAAGATTGATAAAAGGCACCAGTAACGGGTGCTATTAACATTAAAAGAACTACAACCGATTTTGGAGTTCTAATTTCTATATTTTGAAGGGTTCTGGAAGTTTAGTGTTGAATTACACGAAACAATACATCTAACTATTTTTTTTTACAGGATTTTGAAATAACATGTATGTTACATACTAGGCTATTGTGTTAATCTTGTTCTTGATTTTTTAATGGAAATTAACATTAGCAGACATCGTGTCGTTCAATTGACAATATTGAATGGAGGGAATATATTGGTTTATTGCGATGCTTTTCATTGACCAGTTCGTGGAGCCTACGGGTCAACAATTCGGATTCCTATCGGCGTGTAACAGCCATAATATACGGTCGAGCAGAACGTATGCCAACGGGGAATTGAACGTGACACGCGTAAAAAAGGTGCATGTTTCAACAAGGACGCCGTACATCGAATAAATTTGATTTCTCGCTCGAGTAAAATTGTAAACTTTATTCTGGTCGACTGTACGATGGTAACTGAACCCACGGAATTTCACATATCCAAGTATAAGGTTGTTTGGCTTGTAAATCGGAGGTTTTGGGATCGATTCCCGTTCACCGAAATATTTTTATTTTACTGTGCTAACGCAACTTCGATAACTCTGATTTATATTCATGGCATATTTTGAAGGTTCGTAAATTTACTTGCCTGTATTTATAAAATTATCGAGTGTCTACAAATAATATTTCACATACAGACTCCTCTCGATTATCGTCTGGCTTGTTCTACACGATTATTGTCCAGGCGTTATCCCCACCATTGAGAGGTGGAAGTTGTGGAACCTGTCAGTGCAAAAAACGAATTTACGAGAAACTGAAGCATTCCTTCCTATAAGATTACTGTCCCGGAGCGGACCCAAGTTCGGACAATAATCGAGAGGAGTCTGTGTATTCATCAGGAAGAGGTATACCATCTTAAAAATTCCGGTAAAATCGAAATCGGACAATTGCGGTCCGTCCCTTGTTCGCCCACTGATTGTTATGCTGATCATTGTCTACTGAGAATCAAATTGATCTCTTTACGTCAGGATTCTCCAACAATAATGCTTATTTATTGAAATTACCTATTCCTGGATCGAAAATCCATATATCTGTCAGCAGCGGAACATTTTGGAAGGATAATTGAATTATCCTCCGTCACTTGCTTCGATATTTTGTAATTTTTTGGTATCGATCCGACGCTCTGACCCCCCAGTGTCGCTTGTTTGCATACACGTCTGCACACACTAGTAATAATCCACTTCGTTACGCGGGATATCGTGAATGTTTTCGTCAGAAGTACGGCCATTTATCGCGAATGGACGCGGATATTGTGCTGGTAAACGCGACGAACAGAAAAGAATATTGCGGGGGCGGGTCATCTGTTTCGGTTTCGTGGATCCGTGATTGATATGGCCACCCCGGGATTTTCGTTAGTTGCGTCAACGAAATGTCAAAGTATCTAACGACGACAATATCGTTTTATTTGTTTCGCTTGTTAGACACTGGATTATTTCCTGTTTTTTTTTTTGCGGAGAAACGCTTTAATTGTTGATTGCGTCGTTGAATGTTAAAGTTAGATGACGATCTATAGTTTAGAATTTTCTCTAACTGACCGCAGCGAAAATTGTTTCTTGTTCAAATTGTCATGAATTTTTAGAGAATTAAAAATTATTGAACACGTGGTTCTTTGTTTTTGCTAAAAAAGAATGGTTCCTGGGGATGAAACAGCCCCTCGATATTCGCTGCTCGGAACATACCTTTTACGATATTACGTGTAAAGTAATCGTTGTATGGAAAAATGTTTGAAATGAAAGTTACTCAGTTTATATGGGTGTCATAAAAAATATATTATTTTATATTGTACTTCAAATTTTCCTTTTTCGTTTTCGACACGACGATTCAAACCGTTCTTTTGCAAAAAGAAAAAAATGCGTGTTCAGTAGTTGACTGTTATACGATTTACAGAAGAATTGGCATTTATTTCTTGTCCTCTTTTCAATTAGACCGGAAGCTATTTCGAAACGATCCTCTGCGATACCCCACAAGGCACTCGGGACGTATTGCCTCGAACGATCGATTAGCTATAGTTCGCATTATGTAAACGCGTGATCAATCACAAAAAAAGGAAGAAATAGTTCCGAGTGAAAAATGGTGAATCTGCTTTAGGAAGTATCCTTATAATCTGGTGGAATATCCAATATCCTCCAGGGTGAATATCCTTCCGTTTATCCTCCACTGATCCCAACTTTCATCAGTCTTCGTGCCATTTAATTCGGTTTTGCAAAGCTTGCTCGACGCCAGACACTTTGGTTTCAGATATTCCATGAAGGATATAATAATCGCCTGTGAAGTATATCCTTGAAAGAAAGTCTTTTAATCCTTGGCAACTCGTTAAGGACTTTTGAGAGTAGGTACTGTTTAATCTGCAGTTTTAAGCTCACGAATGACACCGTCACGCAGATCTCTTCCTTTTTAATTTTGCGTAGAAAATAAGAGTCTTGGTGTTCTCTGTCTTCTCGTAAGTTAATCAAATCTGTCCTCAATATTCATCGAATCTAACAAAATAACAGTTCTTTCGTAAATAAAATACTAATACAAACACGTATTGATCTTTTCTTCCCAATCAATCGGAATTCGCAGTGATTGATGTATGTAAAACATGTCAGTCAGACCGTTTCTCTCGATCATTCATCTATATCCGGAAGCTCTTTTCAATATCTTATGACATCGTCCAATTCATTGACTCGCAATATCCCATAATAGATCAAAAAAGCTGTGTAAAAAATTCGATAAACGTCCAAGCAAGGTCCAATGATTCGTGGAAATTTGAAATTATCTGAAATTCGTCCATAGCATTTTCTGGGCTTTTCTTTTCAACCACGTGACAGATATTTCGTGTTAAATGGGAAATGGTAAAGACCAGGAGAAAAGCGATCACAAACTTGAATTTACTCCGATTACCAGGACAAAGCTATCACGGATTGTTATTGGCTACGAAACAAAAATACGAGGTAGGATATAATTAAAAAAGAATTTACCAAACGCCTTTCCCTTCAACGCTTAGCGATCGAGTCACCTGTTGCGACGGTCGATTCCATTCAAGAAAGAGTTTCTCCGCTTATTTTATCCGTATTGGTCCATGAATTTAATTGAATTTAATTTAATCTCCCGATAGAACACATTTGATCTTTCAATGTAAAGAACAATTTCCTTGTTCTGTTTTCTTCCTGCATGTTCACTACTTCATCCACTTAAAAAGCTAAGCGAAAAAAAGTCTTCTTAGCAAACATTTCAGAGAAATATTTCGAAATTTCTGGAGCTCCAACTTGGCGATCGCTACCCTTGAAAATTAAACGAGAGACGAGACGTGAGAAGCAACGTTCGAGTTTTCCCGTAGGTAGATACTGGTCTTCACCCCCGACGGAATTGCCACTTTAAATCGAGGACGATTTAATTTGCAAGGCATCTGACGAGAAATGAAACGCCCTGGCAGAATGTTCCCACTGAAAATTTTATCGGTTCTGCGACAGGCACTACGATGTCTAATCGATGTTCTTTAGCCCTGTAACGTCCAATGTTGCACAGGTGCAACACTCGTTTTAAACATCCGTAAAATACTGTCACCGGCTAATATCTAACTTGTGAAGTAGATCTCCAGGTTTTTAAGTGAGATATTCAAGTATTCCGTTGAAAAATAAATGAAACAAATGAAAAACAATAGATCTGTTTAAAATTGATATTTTGGATTTCAAATTCACAATATACAGCATATATATTTATCAGTTCCATAATTTTGAAATAACGATTTAAGGGTCTGGGTATTAAAAGATTGAAGAACGAACGAATTCGTGCCGGAACCGGAAGAAAAGTATCGTATAATAATCCTATTTCGTTTATCTTTTCGCTAATCTGTTCCTTTAACTCGATTTTTTAAAGCACTGTGGATTCTGATCGACTCCGACTAATTGAATTTCAATGTCTTCCTCCCACGCGATGCTTGATCCGTCCGGCCGAATCCCAGTAAACCGGGGGAACGCGGTTGTAAACCGAATAGGATGAAAGTGGACCGCGATTCCGATAAAATATTCAACAGGCAGCAGCTGCGGTTCCAATGATTCCTCGACAGATCAACGTTTAATCGCTTTGTAGCTCTCCTCTTTCTAAAATCGATCGTGAATCGCAAATTTCATGCGATTCCCGTTTATTCCAACGCTACAACCCTAAATACAGCTTTTCCCCCATGAATTCATTAATGTTTTAACGTTTGTTAATCATATGTATTCGATATTATACGAAGTAATCATACAATCGCAAATGTTAGTAAATGATTCTGTAGCAAATTATTAAAAGAATTTTAAGCTTCGGTTACAGGGCGATTCAAAAAAGAGTTGATAACTTCTGGGGTAGATATTACTTACAAAATGATGGAAAAGAATTTTGCATTCTTTCTTCAATTAAACATGGGTCGAAAAATTAATATTTTGAAAGTTATAAACAATTTTTTGTTTTGAACAATACACTGACTCAAAATGTGTTGAGAAGCAAAGCAAGACAAACTTCCGTCAGTTTCGAACGAGGAGAAATCAATTTTCCGGTCGTCTCATTATTTCGTCGAGGGAACTTCGAAACTCAATTCCTGGCCGAGAAACATCATCATTTTGATAATACCGTAGAGTTTCTGACCCCCATCAAAATATTGCAGCCGGCAATTTTTCGGTTTCCACGACGTTTAATAATATTGAAACGATGGTAAAAAAAAAGGATCGTTCTGTTTAGACTCACTCGTCGATGTTCAATATGAGGACGAGATACGGCCTGCTAACGTCCAGCGTCGCTTTCGTTTGCGTCGTCGGTGTCGTCGGGAGATCAGCTGCGGCGATGGAGGAGACACCAGCATCGTCGTTGAATCTTCAACACTACAACTCCCTCGACTCGATTGGCTTCGACGATACTCTGCCTGAGAAAAGAGCGTACACTTACGTTTCTGAATACAAAAGGCTACCTGTATACAATTTCGGCATTGGGAAACGTTGGGTGGACAACAATGACGACAAGGTAAGTTCGAAATATTGGGTACCGACTTTTCACGTAAATATTTACCTCCAATTCATCCTTTCGACTTATTTTCACTTTCAATATTCGAATATACCCTTGAGAAGATTACCATGTGTTTAATTCCCGAATAAATTGAAGGCAGGGGCGCGCTCCAGGCGGTTGTAGGATCATTTTGACCTATAACTAAAACTGTATTGTACGTCGATTTGGAGGTTGAACTGTGCATAAAATTTTATATACATTGGATTGTTCGGAAAGTTTGTAGCTGTTAAGGATAGAGTTACAATTTCCATTTTTCTATTTACGTCATGTTATTTATACTATTTTCTTCTTTCCCTTTCGAACCTTCCTCGTCTTTACAAAGTACTACAACTTCAGTAGCTACGTCAAAATGATCCCCCAACCCCTGTAGGAGGAACATTAATAAACAATAAAGGATCCATAATAAAATATAATCCATAATCCAAAAATAACATCCATAAATAAACAATAAAGGTAGTTCCATTGGTTTCAGCCACCAAAAATTCCCATAAATACGTACAATCTATACCTCCCAATGACCAGTCGATCACTTCCATTTTTTTTCAGAGGGGTCGTCAATACTCGTTTGGCTTAGGAAAACGCACGAAACAGTACAGTTTCGGGCTGGGCAAGCGAAACGACAACGTGGACTATCCACTCAGGATGAACCTGGACTATGTGCCGATCGGTGGATTGGGTTTCCATTCTCAGGAGCTCCAGGACGACCAGTTGGAAGAGAAACGTGGCATGCAGCCGTACAGCTTCGGTCTGGGACTGGGGAAGAGGATGTCTGGGGACGAGGAGGACACGTTGGAATAAAGGAAACCTCTGGTCGAGGAAGCTCCGTCGGCGGAGGTTCGTTCGAGCGGGACCATGGCGATGTTTTAGCCCCGCGTTGAACGACGTAGCTTTATTTCGATGTCACGGAGTTCTGTTGTCAGATGAAATATAACGATTGACGCAACCAAATAAAGACACGTTTTCAAATTTCAACGATTCCGACCGATCTGTTCTTTCCTTGGTTTACATACACGGTGGACCACGAAACGTGATCAGCTTAGATTGTTCTACTGCTGGCTGTTCGATCGAAAATTTTGTTGGTTGGTATTACATGATTTTGGTATTCATGAAATTTTTTGTGAATCCTTTCTTCCCAGATTTTTCTAGGTCACCTTCAGGTTTTTGTGCATAAACATATTTTATACGCCCGTTTTTTAGAGAACACGCATTCGGAAAGCATCATATGTAATTTTTTTCTTCTAGAGCAAAAAACATTAAGGAAATATCATTTACCTTGATTAAAACGATTTTTAACATGGTGTCCATTTGCTGCAATACTGAACGACTGCTTAGTTTTAGTTATAACGTACAATGATCTTATAAAATAATTGTATTTATGACAGTAGAGTAATCTAAGCTGTCCACGTTTCGTGGTCGATCCTGTACATACACCGCGCGTCCAAAATGGGAGTTAGATAAAATGAATCCTTTTCACGACCGATTTGAAGCACGATCGAATCTTGGAATCGAGATTTGTTAATCCTGCTGTTCTCCCCACCTTTGTTTTTCAAGTGTGTATCCCTTGGAATACAATTATGTCGAATTTTGAAATTATTTGTTCTTGAGAAATGGAAAATACACAAAAAGAAACGTGAAATTTAACCCTCGAATGGTAAGGTGAGTTTTAAGGTCGTATATACTTGGTAAGGTGGGGTTGAATCCGACCCGAGCTCTTGTTTGCTATTTCCAAACGGGTAAAAAGAAGTATTATCTTGAATATGAATGTTTGTTTACTTATATAATAAGGAATGATAATTGAGTTGTATAATATATAATAATATAAGTATTAATCGTTTACGAAATAATAAAAAACATTTCAAAATGAGAATACGACCTGGACTTTACCATTAGAAGATTAAATACAGATATTTAAAAACGTAGTATCTATTGAAATATAATCTTCATTTCGAGTGATGTAGACCCCAGGCGAACAGCAGGGTTTAATACTATAACGAGAAAAATTAATTAATTCTCCGATATTCCGCTCGAGTGAAACTTGTAAACTCTTGTGAAATATCCTCTCTGTATCTCTATAATGGGTGAACTAAATTTAACAATCGAGGATATTGTCCTACGTACAATTTATTATTTTTCACGAACCTCTAATGCTTAAGGACGGAGCGAACGTTAATGTTAATACGCAAATTGTGAAACGTCGTCATTGATCTGTACAATCAGCGGATCGAATCGTCGTTCGAAGATCCAAGAATTATTCCACCTACTGCGAGTTAATTAAAAGGTCCTTTAAGCGTTCCGCCTAATTGCCGAGCGAAAACCGAATTTTCGCTGCGTTTTCTGTCTTATAAGCCTCTTTATAGAATCGTGTCGAACTTGTGCTCGATAGTTTATCGAATAAATGTTCTTCGAGAAAAGAAAATGAATAATATGCGAGTTGTTGATTGAAAACCCCGAACAGTCCAGAAATTCCAGTTCGTTAAACCGTTATCGTAGCAATATAATATTAATAAATCGGTTCCCTTCTCTGTCGTTCAGCCGAGAGTTTCACTGAAACCGACACACGATCGTGATAAATAACGCGATTTAGCTGCAGGCCACCGTGAATCGGACACGCCCCCCTTGGATTTCGATTATACTGTTCCCAGTTTCCGATCGACAGACCCTAGAATCACTCGTATCTGTTAGTGAAACTACGCTGTAACTCCAATGGAAAGACGAATTTCTTAATATCTCCAGAGATTGGATTTAAAATTGGTGCCTTCAGTTATAAAGTTTCAAAGTTTCAAATAAGCAGTCGACGAATTCAATTCGAAACTAGTGTTCCCAATCTTATAAAAAAATCAAAGATTCCAGTGAAAATATTGGTGCCTTCTCAAGTAATAATTTCAACCTACAAAATCTAGTCTTTACGATGGACAGAGTTGTTTTCCTTTAAAGAAACCTTGAGATTGTTACGTTCAAGCCATTCCTCACAAAATGAAGGTTGAAATTTGTTATGGAACATTAATGGTGTTTGCGTTTACAACGGCACCAAGTTTGGGAATACAGAAATCTTGGCTGCCAGATTTGGAATGGCGAACCGTAAAGAATTGGATGGATAATCGGGTACCTGAAGACGATAACCACGTGATTTTCCCCTTAGAGACTAGACACGCCGTGGGTATGCCGATTTCTGGCGATCATCGATTTTCTGAGATCGATCTGGCTAGGTCTGGGTCTTTGGTTTTACCTAGAGACGGAAGCCTACAGGTATGTATCATTTATGTCCAGAAACTTAAATATTTTTTAATAAAATGATTGAGAATTATGACAGAATTATATGATATTATTCTTGAATTATCATGAAACATTAAGTCAGTTCGACACTTGGCTTCACAATAGCTTCAGTAAAAGTACATTCACAAGCAAACTCAGCTTCCGCTAGGGGAGCAAGCAGCGTAGGGGAATGGCCTTTTATTACTTGGTGGTAAATTTATTTCAAGTACTGAAATAAATGTTAAACTGAATATTAATTTGGCATAAATTTCAGTAACTCTCGAGACCAAGTGCTCCCCTACGCTATTTTTCCCCCTAACGGAAGACGAACTTGCTCGTCACTACATTTACTATGTGTCGCGAAATGTCATCGTTTCAGAGATCGATATTCGTTTGTAATGAATCGTAAATCGTCCGCTATTTGCTGCAACTGAGATTTCAGTATAATTTCAATCGAGACGAAGAATGAAAATATCGACTTGTCACGGGACTTCTGCAACACGTAGTAAATTACTTCCGAAATTGAGTTAACACTGCACAGCTGCATATTACCGGCACGCTCAAAACTCAATCGAATGGGGATACATAAATTTGATGCTTTCGTATCGTCGAAAGGTTATTTATGTTATGACGGGTAAATGTAATACTAGGTACAGATAGCTGAGCAAACTATAACCTTTTATGAACTTCTTCACATTATGTCAATGAATTCTTTGTGGATAGAACATAAAAATGAGAAATACACTGCGTGGCATGACTATACAACCACCCTAAAAATTTCAATTCTTATGTATTGTGGTTAAAATAAAAACGAGCTAAATATGCCATGCCAAATTATGTTCCCTGGAAAAAAGTGGTTTTATAATTATGCCATATAGTGTATTAATTCATGGATATGTGTAAAAGATTTTGGACAATGAGAAAATATTAAAGAACATTAACATTGGGCCCATACTTGCGTTTGGAATACTAGTTGAGCTAGAACTCTTGACTTCATCCAATGATGACATGAATGCCTTTTCTTGTCATTAATTTGTAAAACGACAATTAAACCAGTTTTTCTTCCTAATCTTATTAGTATTAAAAGTAACATTAAATAAAGCATATAATATTGGCTGCAAGGAAATGATAAAAAGTTCAATGTTTCGTTGCAGTTAAATGATTTACGAAAATCTCCAAAGAGGATCAGTCGATGGCTAAAGGAGGGTCATTTGTTTTGGGCAGATCCTCAGAACTGGAACGGAAGTTCTGAAGCTGCACCTCATCTCGAGCAAGTCCCCTGTCGTCAGGACGATATAATTCTGCCGAGTAAACAACGAACGTTCAGCGTTCTTATGCCAATGAGAAAGATCGAGGTGAGATCGGTTAGAATAGCGGACGAGAAAAATCCGTTGGAATCGTGGCAGTGGATGGAAATGGAAAACCAAAGGGAGTTCGATAAAGGAATATTTACTGTGGCGTGGGTTGAATTACTGTATTATAAAATATACGGTATTGTGATTGAATGAAAATTAATTTATTAGATATCGTAAATATTCAGATACGCTGACTACAGTTGTGAGAAGTGTCCCTGTCAGAACGATCCGAAAGGCGACTACTTGGAGGAGATCTGCGCGATTCAGAGACCAAAGTGCGGATTTACACCTTGCGAATTTCCCTTAACAGTAGGTTTATCGTCTAATACTCATAATACTACATGGAGAAATAATGATAATAAAAGTTCGAATATCATTTAAGCATTTATCCAAGGTTACCGTGAATTGAAACCAGCGACATCCTTTTAATTCTATTGCTTAATTAATTCGAAATCGGTTGAATTAAATAAAATTTCTGTCTACAATTATTTAAAGAATTGGTGAATCTTTCAGACATAAATTTGTCGAATTCAAATTTTCCGATTTTATGGTGCATTCGACTACAGGAAGATAAGTGAGCATTTCAATTTTTTGAAATATTCCAGGTGGAGGGCCACTGTTGTCGGTACTGCGGCGGCCGGCTGTCTTTGTCGAGCAAAGCGTCTTTGTCGATGGTACGAGCGGCGGCGAGCGAAGCCCTGGAAGGATATGCGGAAAGAGTCGCGTGGCACGTAAGACGTTGCTGGGACGGAACGGCGGAGGTTCTGATAAAGGAAAAGGGCGACTATTCCGGAATCGATATTCTGGAAGCGGTCGAGAATATGAGGAGGACCTTGCTAAGTAAAATTCCTTCGTAAGAAACACTCCCCTTAGACTCTAAAGCTTAGACCAACATACAGGGTGTCTCAGCTAACTTGATCACCTCGAATAATAACTTCACGGGTACATTTTACGAAAGTGTTGAGTGGGGGAACTTAAATGGCATCAAAATGCACATCTTGTAAGGTACGTGCTTTTTTTGTGGGTGGAGGCATTTCAGAGATTACAAGGTCACCTTGATTTTTTTCACCTTGATCAAATTCTGAGTAAAGATGATCTTCATACGTCCTAAACCCAGTTAATGAGATATTTACAAAATAATTTTGAATACATACTTACTATCTGGAAGCTATAGGTGGTCGAACTGATGCCCCTCAACTTCAATACAGCGATTTCAATGCAGTGATTATTTCCTAACCCAATTTTTACTCAGAATTTGATACTCTATCGATCTTTGGTACAAGATAAGGTCATTCCAGTAAAAATAATCATAGTGACGTGATCAAGTTAGCTGAGACACTCTGTATACAGTGAATCGTGGTCTTTCGATACCGAGGCTCTTTTAACGAAACAATGAAGCTACTAGATGAATATAATATAGCACTTCATTTCGTTAATTTTATTGACCAACATATATTCTGCGATGCAGAATTGTTAGAGAATATCGTACAGAAGCCGTAGTTACGGAGAATAGGGTGTTGAAGCCTCGATAAAACGAGTGAACCTTTAGAAAGTATTTTTGTAGATTCCACCAGTCTTCCACGTCGTTTCCCAATAAGTTAATGACTAATGACATTCTCCAGTAATAGGGAGAAAAATTGGTTCTCGATATAGAGGCTGTGGGAGTCGAATAGGAATACTTCTTTCCAGGAAACTTTAGAGTCTCGAAGGTGTTATTGCATGACCGATTCCACGCGTGAACAAGAAACTGCGGAGTTTTGCAGTTAACGATTCGATTCGAAAATAAACTGATTAACTGTGTGAAAATTGAAAATCTACGTTTCTGATTGAAACAGGTATGAAGATCGAAGTGCTAAGCACGGAGACTGCTGGCGCGGCGATGAGAGATCACCGAGTGGTCGTGGCATTGGTTCCGCTTTTCGGAACACCGTTAATCATTTTAGGACTTTTTTTCATTGGTTTCACGTACTTCGGATACTCGTCCAGATAGTAAGTATAATCATTCGTGAATAAGGATCGAAATAGTTATGGAATTGTTTAGTAGGTTCTATTTGAAACGTGGACCGTGGAACATTTTTAAAAAATGTTCTCACATTATAAATTCCTACGAGAAAAAACAAACAAACATTCTTGAAAGTGATAGTTTTAAATTGAATAAAACTTAGAAAATATAGGAGTACAAATTTTACTATAGCTGAAGCAGATAGTTTGTTCATCAATAGTAAAAAAGTTCTTAATCAGTGGCATACTATTCAATGAATAGTACTATAATACCATTATAGTTATAATACTATCACGTTGAATAGGGAACATATCGTGAACATGTTCATTGCAAAAGAAACTTATATACCCCTATGTCTTTCAGTATTGATATTTACGAAGGACGAATATATTTTTGCAAATCTTTTCGTAATATCTTAAATAATAAGGGAGCAAGTTATTACAGCAACCACGAAGAGTGAAAACACTTTTAGGAAATCTACCGCGCAAAATACACGCGAGAGAAGTTAATTTCGCAGACTTCCGGTCCGTTGGATATATAAGGGCGCCGAGTTTTGGGGGGAAGGGGGTGAAGGACGAGGAACGAGGCCACTTGCAAACTGCAACCTCGTCTTTCATATTCCGTGTAATTACTTTTTTCCATCGTGTTCCCCCTTTTTTTTCTATCTCTATTTCCGCCCCCGTTAGATATATGGACACCCACGTATGTCGGTCGAATATGAGAGTGGCAGTGGAAAAATTTATCATCACTTTTCTAAAACGTCTTTCCTCATATCAATTTTTACCTAAGACATGTAATCACAAAATTCTCGTATTTTAATTAGTAAACGCGACGAACCACCTGACAACTTCGAGTTAACTAACTAACACTGGAACTACGGAAGACGAACGTGTTTCTATCAAGTAACCAAGAAAGTTCGTGCCGTTTCTAGGTTTTATCACTGTCAAATTAAAAAAGTAATGGAAAAATTGTTAGATCGTTGGAAAAAGGTAACAGAAGGTGACTACTTTTCTTAATAAAGTATTGTTTGATCAACTTTGTGTATCTCCATTGAGTAAAACGGCATGAAATCTTCTCGGTTATCTGATATTTCGAACACGTTGGTAAAAGCTTGTTAAAAATACGCAAATCAATGATCTAATGAATCTGTTCTGACTGCCTTGGTAACATATAATCTTAAGGATTAAAAGTAAAAGTTATATTTTTATATGTTATTTAAACGCGAATTTGTATGAATTCGCCTTCGAATTTTGCGATATTTTCGCTATAATTATTACCTAAATCTCTCTGTACATAAGCACCCACACGCATTCGGATAATGAAATGGCACACGTGGCATTGGGTTACGGGGGAGGTCGAGCGGTGGTTGCTTTGAATTCCAGAGGGCGAACTGGTGTGTTTGCGCCCAGTAAACCGAACTGCAGTTGCACCGATATTGGGCACGAAGTGAACTACGACACGTCGAAGTTACAGAAAGTTCCCTTTCCGGCCATTTGCCTCGAACACGGAGGGTGCGAGGCGTAGACGTTGCAACTGGAAAATTAGAATCAACACACGTGCACTACGAAACATTCGGGAAAAATTCAGATGTTTAGGCTTTAATGGAGTACACCACATTATCACACGTTCTTAGAAGAATACGTAAAAAAATTATTTTTCCCCAGGTAATTATTGAGTTAAATAGTATGTCCTTGTCAGCCAGATTGACTTCAAGTTTAGAAACATTATTCTTTATAAAATTCTCTAGAATGTAGAATAATTTTAAGAAATGAGGAAATTGGAGCTTTATAAACAAATTTTTTTCACTGAAAAATATTGACTCTGAAAATTTATAAAAATTCACCAAATTAGAATATAAAATAAATGTACGCTGCATTGTAGATAATTTTATACGGAATAATGTGTCGAAATTTGAAGTTAGTCGAACGAATAGTTTCGGACTACTGAATGCCGGCTGACGGTGTCCTTCCTAACATGACAGTAGACAATGCTACATAACTCCGCCATTTTTTAACTTTATATAATAGATATTCTATGAAAATAAAGTTAAAATGTTGCTTAACGCCCTTTGAAGACATCTCAATATTTTACTCAATAATTACCCGAAAAAGAAATGTTAAATTTCCGTATTCAGTTAGGCCTACAAGGTGTGATATCCCTTTAACTTGTCAGGCTGATGGAAAATAAATGCCGAGGCACCATTCGTATTTAGAAGACGATACTTATACAAATTTTCATATTGTACACGAAAGGAATTTTTTGTTTGATTATAGAATTGAATAAAAGAGTTGTAATTAGGATCGTTTTAATACAAGAGACTGATTCAATTTACGAAACGCCGGTGGCAACGACCTAGCACCTAGCACCCGTGAAACTCGGTGCCGTTTACAATTTACCGTTTTACACTCGGCAGTTTCTTCGCCGTCGCGTTACCCGGCGACCCTTTCGTTCGCTGCTCGTAGCATTTAATTACCTCGACCTGTCCAATCAAGTCAAATAGTTTATTATTTCACGCGAGAGCGAACGAGCAGCGTAATTCGCGATGGGGATTAAACGGGAGGGACGTTTGAAAAGGAGAATATACTATATATACTGGCCGAAAATATAGAGACACTTGAATTATTCTCTTCGTGGTGGAGATGTTCCTGCTTAATGATAATTAAATCACAATTTATTTCTGTCTACATAAATGCAACTACTTATATATCATTGACATGATTTCATTAATTTCTATTTATATAGTAGTGTCATAAATAGTGTCATTGGCATACAATGATTATTACATAATTATTAATCTATAAATTAGATTGTATAATAATTTCTTCAGATTAGTTAATGATGATCAACTACTTAGATTACTTCATAATGATTTCACAATTCTTTGATCGAAACTATCATTTATGACATACTATATTCAATTCAGTAACTAGAATAACTATTAGATGTGCCAATAAGTAAACCACTGTATTTAGTCAAATTTAATACTTGCCTTGAAATCAAAGCCCTATTCTACGGTATTTGTCCTCGTTCTTCGATATTCGAAGAAAAGGATGCAAAGATGTTTTAAATTCAAACAATGTTACCATTAACAAGAAATTTTTGAGTGCTTATTGATACACCTACACTACAAATGTAACCTTAATATATAATTTTCTTAAACTAAATCATATGGTTTAAGAAAAAAAGTATTCAATGTAATTAATAATTTAATTTAATTTTATCCACGAACCTGTATTTTCGTAGCATCCTCTCAAGCTGCGGCGAAATTTTCACCTCGATTCGGGACGGCATTCGCGTGGACAATAAGTCCCCGCAGGGCAGCAAACCATTCAGTTTCGCTCGTTTCGAGAACGTCTTGGAGGGCAACGTGCGAATCGCCGACGTGTCGGGCAACATCGAACAGGGGACCGAAAATGAGGTGGATGGCGCCGAGGAAGCGTCCGGGGGTAGGTTCGAAAATCCTTTGTACAGATCGAAGAGAAGACGCAAAGAGGAGGAAGATGAGGAGGTGTTGGATATGAACTCCCCACTCACAATCAGTATGGCCACCTTAAAGGACAAAGTAGAAGATCGTATTGAGGAAGTGGACGTGGATATCGATGAGTGATGCAATTCTAAGGTTGACATTTAATCTAGCCAGCTAAATATTAGATTGTTGCAGCATAAATGTCGTTTTTAAATAACAGAATATGAACGATTATGAGTCTAGACTGCGGACGTTTATGTATTTATTGAGAAATGTAATAAAATAAAGATTTTAATGAAGTTTAGTACTATTTATGTGTTATTATTAAGGTAATTAAGACTCTACTGCAGGATTCAAAATTCTGTCTCGTTTTAACTTATAGATATTCGTATCAGAAATTGTGAACTTACTGAATTGATTTAAGAATTTTAAGATGCCTGAAATAAAGTGTATTGGAAAACGACATTTATTATAGAACAATCTAGTATCTCAAAGTTCCAGTTTAATTGTTGAATACTCATCTGGGACACGACAGAACAAAGATGTTTCTAGAAACGTTCGAATAGTAGATAGAATGTCATTAATAATCATTTTACATTGTCGTTCGTCCAGCATTGTTAATTAACGCATGGATCATGTTCAGCGTAAAATTATCCAAGAAAACCCGTCAACTTCTGATTAGTAGTAATTACAATTTTATATTATTCTGTGCTGTCCTACAATGATATTTCAATAACAATAAAGGAACGTAAGCTTCGAAGACTGCGGTGGCAAGGTATTAACCGACTCTTTGAAATTCATATTACCTACAGAATATCCTGATACACTTAAACGGATAGCATTGCTCTGAAACTGATAGGTCCTAAAGTATCAAACGAGGATTGGAAAATGAAAAGGAGTGGAATAGACGTCGTTCAAGAGGTTCTCCGACTCTTAAATAGATTCTCCAGCTAATTAAACAGTGAAATTTCTTCATCGACGTTTTCCTGGACTATCAGATCGAACGAGTAGGAAATTGACAAGGACCAATTAGAATAATAGGTAACCTTATACGTCAGTTTCACCATTTCTCAAACATACTATAAAAATATAGAAAGTCTAACAAAAATTCTCAGATGCCTCTGTTACACTCCTAATAGATGTTCTTAGATAGTATAAAAAGCCAAGAACTAGGGGAACAAAATTACTGCTAAATTACAACTATGATATAATTTAAACTTAGCGCTAAATAAAGGGACGAAACTGTGGACGATAATTCAAGTCACATGTGTTTATTCCTCGTCGTACAACTTTTTTCAACTCGGACTCACGTGCGGGACCGACCACGTGGCATCCAGCGTACTGTCATCGCGGGTAGACACTTACTCGAAGACGATCGTAATAGGATAAACCGTCGCACAACTACGGACACGTATACAGATATACACATAAAGACTCTGCGGTTACGAATATACACTCGATACATATGTATGCAAAACGGGCACGCAGTGAATGAGTTACGAATGATGATTTCTTTCTCTCGTTCCTTTTCGCGATAATAATGAAGTCAACCGCCGCGTACAGGCTACGCGCACACGCGTACTTCTATCGTTGCGCGAAACATGTTACGTTTATTTAGTGTATACATATATTATCTGTTTATATAGAAACATTTTATGTATACATATATATATATATATATATTTATCTCTCTCTTTATATATATAACCATTTATATAAAGCTTTATTAATAGAATATATTAAACTCTCTCTCTCTCTGTTCTCAATAAAACTGCATAAATTGGCGTTTTTGTACACAAATACGATCAGCGATCTGGTTTTGTTTAAGGACAAAATCACGAAGACTCTTCGTACGATATTTCGGACGGGAACGGTATTTGGACCAAGTACTTAAAAATCGGCTTTTTGAAGATTTTGGGAGGATGAAAATAGAAAGATCGAAGAACTTGAATTTTCTGTGACTTTTCTTATGAAACTAGATTAAAAAAAATTCCATTTTAGGGTTAAGTTTTGTTTGAAGCTGCAAGACACTTATTTTTTGAGTAACAATCGTTGATTTCTCGAGGCACGTGAATGTATCGATGAAAAAGATTACATCATGGAGAATGTGATACTTAACAGTGAGTATTCGTTTAACCTTCTATTGTGTTTGGCTATTGAACTCTTAGTAATTCGTTCGTGTTCCTTAACTGTCTAGATAAATCGTATACGATCGCTTTTAATATATTGCATTGTAGATAGAAATTAACAAGGGAAGAGTACAAGTCGGCAGAATATAATATGTTGGTCAACTGACCCATGTAAAGATCGTAGAAAAAAAGACTTTCAGGTGATCAATATCTTCATCATCAAAGAAATGTTAGAATTTTACACAGGAATATTATAAATAGTAACTACACTGTCTACCTACTTCTAAGGTTAAACATTGATTGCACTATGCAAAAAGGCATCTTCCTTAAACAGGACTGCATGGAAATGTTCCGAGTGGACGGAGATAGTTCTACTTTAAGAAGGGTAGAAGCACGTTTCTTCGAAAAAGTAGTGGTATCCCGTCCGTGTGCAGATAGGGGCAATCAACAGTCACGGAGTCAACATTCTTTTCTGCTCATCTTGCTATTTTCTTATCACAAGTAAACTATACGATCCCGTATTTTTTTCGGTACTGCAAACACACGTGTCATAGTTTACAGTCAACCAAATACGGTCCCTCGAAATTGGTTTAAACTGGAATACCGTGAAGGACACAATTCCTGATCAGTTTAGTATATAGATACTATATAATAAGTTTCTTAAAATGAAGGTTTTTTTCTAAAAAATTACTAAATTAACTATTTGGAAATTTACACATAAAATTTGATAGCTCAGAGCGTGATGTAAATATATAATTTAAGTCATCAGAAATTGCTCCCTTTGCACTTCTTACTTTAAAAGTTAAATTATAATTTCATTGTATTACTATTTCTCCACTTTTGTTACACGAAATTAAAGATAAAACATAGACTTATTCCAAGAACAATAATACTTTTGGTTCCGGCTAATTGTTCTACTTATACGTCAAGAAAAATCACGATAGGTACTCTTAAATGATCAGGGAATGGGTCCGTAACGGTACATTAAGAGTCAGTGATCGTATTGGTTTGAAAGAAAACCATGCTCCAAAGTAATTAAACACGATTCAAAATACTTCTTTCAATCCAAACACTATTACCTTCGTCCAAACGAAATATCTTTTTAAGCCCTAACCGACCTCGAATTCCTCGCTCGATCGATTTCGTTGACGCCTACGGCGGGAAAGCTTTCAGTAAACTCGATTGAGCCTCCCGCGAGATCCCATTTGCATTTCCAGCCGCGATCGAGAGATCAACGAAGCCAGAATGATAATTTTCCACGTGTATCGCACCGCGAAAGCTCCGCGCGACACGTGATAAAATCGAATGACAGGGGTCGTACGAAGAGCTTCTCTCGGATTTCGTGTCCCGTACTAACGTGATCGGGCTATACCGTCTTTTTTTTTCGAAACGGGCGTTATCCTCACGTACGGAGGATTAAACGGAGGAATGGGAGACACGGATTCGTTGAATGGTCCCTGCGATTTTTTCGAAAGACGTCTCGTAACGATCATTATAAATCTTTTTTTCTCAGCAACACGTGATTGCATCATCCCGTGATAAAAAGTATCAATGAATTCCTTAAACCTTCGGCCATAATATATATTATATATATATTTATTTTAAAACGGTACGATATCAGATGAAATATGGAAACATAAATAGTCCAGTGATAATTGTAATGGACTCACAACGTTTATATCAATGGTTTGCAATGTTTATTTTACCTTTTTTTTATCGCAGAATGATGTACAATCTAGTTGAACGCAATCGACAGAACGTTTGTTAAAATTCCGGATATTTTGTCGAAATAATTCTTACCGTATCATTCTAGACGATTATTATCTAATGGAAGCCTCGTTCTCTCCTCGAGACAGTCTCTTCCTTAAATCCTTCGTCGGTGTTTCTCTATAACTCTAACTTGAATGATCGTGATCGATGATATTTGTACCTAGATGTCACGAAACGGTAATGATCACATGTTCGGTGGTGTCTATTCGTGGATCACTGAAGTCGATCGTGACGGAAGGTGAGACGTGATTTAAAAACGGATAGATATCACTCGAAAAATCAGTCGAATTGATCCGATACACCTTTCACTTCCAGTTCACTTTTTCTCAATAACGAAGGTCCTTGTGAAAATAGTTCTCTGCACACTTTCAACTTATGTTTTGACAAACAATTACGTCTCACCCTTCATTTTAAAACTCGCGATTAAAAAAAGAAAAAGAGTTATTCCTACGTTCCGTGGCGCGATGTTTAAAAAACGAACCTTAACGAAAGAAGATCGAAGCGGCCACTATCATTGCACGCTATCTTATTAAAACCTTAATGGAAAGAGATACTCCCTCTGTCGCGTGGAGACTCGGAAAACCAATCGTTCGTTTTCCAAATACAATGTACAAATTTGTGTCTGGAGTTAAATTATCCCTGCAGCACACCTTAACTTCGTAGATAAAATAATATATAACGTCCGTGAAGAGAACATGCGCACACACGACTTTTTAGACTCATAAAATTACCTATATATAATAACGCACAGCTTCTCACAATGCACAACGTGACGGGATTCGAATTGGGTCCCGTATAATAAATTGCACGAACGTCCGAGCAAGAACACGGACTTTTGGACGAAATTGAATAGTTTCCACCGCTATCAGCGATTCTAAATATCGACGAGCAATGGACGCTCGAGAATTGCTCGGACACACCGTTAAATACTTTAATAATTAATATAAATTCTCACACTAATCTATAAACCACCTTCGATGTCACCTGTTAATCGAAATCGAACGTCATCTTCATTTTGTATACCTACTTCGTTTATCGGACTTTCGTATGTGAAATTACGTTTGCAAAGAAGAAAAAAGGACTGATTCTTGGTTGCAGTTCCGTCTATCGATCGGTCTTTGTTCAAATAACAATATCAATTTCGATACATTATGTGAAAACAAAGATAATTGGTCGCAAGAGACCACCAAAGATCGTCCATCAAGCTGACCAAGCGCAGAAGGTGGGAGCTAGTGACCATAAGAAAAAATTACACAATTTTCGAACTTACTTCACGTGACCGTACGGCGGACCGTGGCAAACAACGCACCATAAATTCCACGACTTAGACCGTAAGTATGTGTCTCTGGTCGGCCGAAGGGAAGAAGAACATCGGAACCAGCGCGAAAAAGAAAGGCACTCCCGGTTATAGTTTATACCGAACCTCTTCGATTCCCTCCGCGATGGAACCGGGAAGACAATACACGAGTTCCTCGGAGTCGGTAGCTAATCTTAGGTTAATATTGGTCGTTGAACGGCGATCTGAAATACTGGACCCGGCCTCTACGCAAGGAAGACTTCACAGGAATGTAAAGGGAATTGCACGAGCTCCACAAAAACCTCTCGTCTCTGACTTAGAAGCTAAACGAACCTCGGGGCCCGACGTAGAATCGACCGCTTTCATTCTCTAGCGAGAAATCAAGAAGGGGTAGGGTCCTTAATTCGACGTTCGATCAGGAACACTATAGAACTTACGTCTCCAGTCTTAAATAAAAAAAAAACAGTTACGGAACCTCAGTAACGTCGAGTCACAAATTGTCCTCCCGAAACGACGACGATCCCCGATATTATCGAGCTCGTCTGACAAACCGTTCGATCGAACAGGATCTCTAGGAGTTCTGAAGCTGGAGCAGAGCCTGCAGACGTTGCAGCTCCTTCAACAACTCGCGATTCGTGTCCTCCAATGCGGTTAATCGATTTCTGTACGAGGAATTCTCGTTCGTCAACAGAGTCACTCGTCGCTCGAGACCGTCCATGTACTCTTTTTTCTTTCGCCTAGACTCCTGGGCGGATATCTGAAATAGGGAAGCAAATGACCGATGGTTTAGATTAGTTTAGAATAACGTTATACAGTCATTCCACGTCTTCAGTTAGAGCTTCACTTTTTCGACCTTCACCATACACATCCGGATTTAACGATTGCGACCCAATAAAGGTGACAAAGACATCAATTAAAACTAAACTCTGTCTAGAATTAGAATTAATGAATTATAACTAATATTCTTTACACATGTAACCGATAGGAGTACAATACTTTATACACTGTTCAAACGAATTAGGGGTTTGCTAATGTGGACGGTCCAGTTGCACCGGAAAAGTGAAAATTAATATGCATATATAAACTAATATCTTTTTCACAGAAAACTGATGCTGTAAACATCTAGATATACTTGTACAAAAAACTTTTCGGAGATTATATACGTCATATTTACGAGCAGAGTACTTTACTTTTTTGACCAATGTACCTTGCGCCAGGTCAAAATCCACTACTAACTACTGAAGCTAAAAGACATATCGTTGATTAATAGCTAACGAAACATTCTCAATTCTGACTTAACATAGGTATATAAAGCCGAATGCTCGGATCTTACCTTATTTTTAATTTTTCTCCGAACCTTCTTGAGCGACTTCTCCTCCTGCTTGGTCAACGGCAGCTTCGTCGGAACAGGATATCCTTCGGCTATTAACGTCCTCTTCTCCTCCTCGGTCAGCGTGAGAACACCGGTCGATCCTTTCTGCAAAATCGATTTCGCGTAACGTTAACGAGAACGTTGACTGGCGGCCGGTCGTTACCAGCCGGGCGATCATCTTCTTTCCTCGCGGTAGGTATGCTCACCGGCTGACAGGAAATCAACGGTGTGTGGATCGGCTGTCTGGTGGTGTGCGTGCTGTTCGTCACGTACAGCCTGGGCGTCAGCAATCCCCTGAGATTCTGTGCGTGCGTGGAGCTCTGGGAATCTCGGCGTTCCGGCGAGCAGGAAGCGGAAGCGGTACCCTCGCTGTCGGAGCTCGCGCTGCTGGGCGGTGTTGGCGGCAGGCCCTGTCTCGATCCTCGTGAATTCGTTTCTTTGCCGTCGCAAACCTCACCGTTGTAGTCGTCTACCTCCATGCTCTAGGGACAAACAGAGAAATATCGGTTGAAATAACGCATGAAAGATCAACTGTATAATGAGCTATTTAGCTTCATCCACGGTTCGAATTACAGTACTCATATGAACTTATGCGCTCTAGGGGTGCGTATTCATTTGTTACGTATACTTGTATTGTATCACCGTTGCGTATCATCGTATCATATCACCATACGATACATTTTCATATGCAACGTTTGCCCGTCCACATTGATATGCAACGGTGGTACGATACAAGGATACGCACCTTAAGATGGGTATACTACTGCTTACAAGTATTAGGTGTATAAATTCATTTGTGGCCTCCATAATTAATTATTGACACGAAACCGCTATTATTTTTACGGGATGGGAATCAGTCATTGCCCAAAGGAATGACGTAAATGTATAGAAAGTGATGAGGAATATCTTCAAGACTAGACTGCATTTTGAGTTTTTGTAAGTAAAAAAAACCAATCTATGGAAATAAGGCCACGAATTAGTCTGTATACCTAATGTAGTATAGACAGACGCATTTTATTGAGAATCAGTATTTTTCAACGCGATTTCAGACAAGGCATACTTGGTTCATTTCTACTTTAACCAGAATACGTAGAATAGAAACGGGTGAACTTTTCTTTGATGGAAGAGCAAATACTAATGAACGGTAGTGTATGTCCAACTGAGCTTCGCAAAGAATAAAAGTCATAGAAGATAATAGGGGGTACGGGTCTATTATGGGCAAAGTCTGTCAAGCAGTTTTGATCAAGAGGATAACCCACCATTGGACATTTTGCTCTTGGAACTAACGTGTACTCAATTCTCACTCTAAAAACAGTACATGTGCCGTGCAACCACTTGAAACCATGTTATAAGGATCAATATAAATGTCAGTTCGAACGAAATAGGACAAAATGATGTTGGATTTGTCGATTCCCGTGGCTTTAGAGACATTACAGGTGTTCCGAAGAATTCCAGTGCTAACCTGATAGTATTCCTCGTCGTCCTCCTCACTGTCGCTGGTTTGAGACAGGTGGTTCTTAGAGAAATGAAGAGTCTGAGGGAACACCATGGTTATCGTGCTCTTGTCGTCGACCATCGTCGTGTGACAGGACTCCGAGGGACTACTAGGTGCGCTTAGCGGTTCCCCTTTGATCTCGGCGCATTCCGCGTCTTCAGGTACTAGATTGTTGGTTCTCTTTAGGATAATAGTTGAGGTAGATGACGCTGTCATTGCCGATGACGACGACGAAGGCAGCTCATCCCGTCCCGAGGTTGTGCTCATCGAGATCACCGGGAAACATTCCTCTTCCATGTCTGAAATTAAACGTTTTTTTCGATCATCACTATGAATAGTCATTTATATATTTTAGATTTTCTTTAATCCTTCGACCTAGTTGAACATTATTACTGATTATTGTTCCCAATTCTGTATTTTGCAAATATTTTATATTATTGTATAATCAGTTGCTGTTAATTTTAAATCACTAACGATAAGAATTTGTCCAAAATGTATTAGTCACTGCGACGTTAATATTTGGTCACCCGAACTTTCCCTAATTAGTCACCCAGGTTTCAGTTACTGGAAGACTAAGTTGAATGATTAGACACCTCATCCCTTACTTAAGACTCATACTTTGATGGAATTTCGTTGTAATCGTATACATCGTTGAATTGTATAATAATCAGTAGAGGTCTGAATGCAGGTTAGGGTCTAAATATGGGCTAGTTGAATGTACAGAGTCATATTAGGTACTTCATCCTACCGGGAATAGTATGAAACCACGACTTATGAAACAAAGAAGCTTTATTTTAACTCCGTATCGTAATGGAAACTAAAAATCTTCAACAGGTTTAGCAATAAGACCTGAAGTAAAATTACCAATCTATATTTAGACCACCTCCTCTAATATATCTACATAAATAAAGTGTTTTCCTCATAATTCATGAATGATTATTAATTGAACATCCAACAACACTTAAATACGAATGTTTTTTTTTCTATTATTATTTTATACGACTAACGTTCATTCAGTTTCATTCATTATTAATATTTTTTGCCATAAGTAGTATAGTATTCTCAAGCACTTAAAACATGATCGTAAAACATATGCATATTTTCCAGAACAACTGTTCCATATGCGATTTTCTCTGGAACCGATGGAATAATACTGTACAGTCGTCAGTAAAAACAGTGGATTCAATTTTAATCAAACGTTGAAACATTCTAGTGTGCACGAAAACGTTCGATAGAAACCTCGTCTGAGAAATCGTGCAACAGTGGTAATCAGATCCGATCATTATGCGCTTCTGATACGTCGCGATCCACGCGGAACGGTGTCGTCTTCAGTACTTAATGGATCAACTACGTGTGGCCGTAATAAATCATGCGACATTGATATCGGTATATATCCCATTATTACGTTAGTTCCTTGGAATGGCGAGTATTACATTTCCCCCGAATCCTGTTATAATACACCCTATCATTAAAGATCTTTATGCGGTGGGTTTTTAGAGATCCGGTATTAAAACGGTATTATCATCGAGTGATCGTCACAAATGGAAAAGATACGAAATGAACATACAGAAAAATACTGAATTCCTATTCTTTCGACGAAGGCAGAAGTGCTTCGCCCACCATTGTGTCGGAGAGTGGGCTGAGTCTCTGATCGGTCAATTTTTATTCCCACTACAGAAGGTATTCGCTGCCTTAAAAGGCACAATATTTTACGACCTTTCATTATATTAGGTCTGGAATAGTACAGAAATTGTAGAATATAGATTGTACCAATGTAATATAAAAAAAGTATATTCTGCCACTAAACAAAAATACTACTGCTGCATCGATGCGTTTGCAGAAAAGATTTAAAAAGTACTTCGTTTAAGCATAGAAATTCCAATTTTTAATAATAAAATAATACGTCTTCTTTAACGAGTCGATATTTGGCAAACAATTATTTAATCTCATTAACTGTTTAAAGCTCAGAATGATGCCCCTAGATACTGCAACTTTTCACTGTGTATTATTCGAATAAAATTGTGCCCGTCTCTGCTTCATAACTATCCTGTATAGTGGGTTTGGAAAAAGGTCGTTGAACTTGAAGAATAAAAGCTAAGAAGACAAATTCTTTATGAAGAATAGTCCTAATAACATCCCTTATAAATAAGTCTCTTTCTAAAATATCTGTAGAACAACATAATAATCTTTTTTGAATATTAAAGTAATATTTCAAATAATTGTTCCTTTAGTAGCGTTAAGAATTGATTGTGATTTCTTACCGTCGATTCTGCTACGAATATCCAACGATTTATGGTGATCCAGATTATTGGGGTCTATAGAGGAGTTGGTGTTCGAGAGGGATGCGGCGACCGTGTCGGCGGACGACCCGGAATTCGGTGTGTGGGGGTTGGCACCGGGGGTTGCTGGGCTCGGCGGAGGGCTGGACGCCAGGAGGCTGTAACTGTGCTCCGATTTTATCGGTCTCGGACCACCGAGAGCGGCGTCGGTCATCAAACGATCCCTCAAGACCACTCCCAACGAGGATTTGTCCCGGACGCAGAGCACGTTCCCCCATTCTTCTTCCTTGGCCCCCAATAAAACGTCCTGACCCAGGGCCTGCAAATGTAAAAAACGTACATGAAAAATATAACATGTTCAACGTTCGAATTTACAAATCATACGTGAAATCCTGACATAGCCGAAATTTTTGTCTAAAATATACTTCTTTCATTATACCATTACTCTATTTAATATCTTTTAGGATGTAGAGATTTATAAGTTACCAGAGTAGCTGACCGTAAGGGGAAGCAAAAATAGTCAAAAGGTAATAGTTAGGACAAAATGTGGGAATTTAGAAAGGTACAATAGATATTGGTTAGAGGATAGTGTGTATGTAGGGTACTGTTATGGATTGGAAAGAGCGAACTGCACGTTAGAGTAAGTATTATGTGAAATGAAAGAAGAGTAAGTAGTAGATTGGTTAGAAAAGGTAGAAAATAAAATAAAGAGATTTCGAGAAGAAAGGGAGTGATAGAAGAGGATGGATAGGACACGGAGTGGGATGTATTTGAAGAATAAAAGGATGAATGGGAGCTAAGTAATAGTATAGTAACCAAGTCCATATACATGTATAATATATTTTAGAATATTTATGCTGAATCATTTCTATTTTTAGTGTACTTTAGTAATTTTTAGTAAGTGGTGCGACATTTATCATTTAGCCGCGCAACGTGAAAAAAACAATAGCATACAGACACCTGTTGGGTGCCCTTACAGCAGGGCGGTGGGCATATTCGGGTTAATTAGAAGCTTTAGATGTCTATAGACTGATAGGAACAGAAGTTAGAAAGAGCTTCTATGAATGAAAATTATATATTAGAATAATTGGGTGAATGTTTTTGATCAGTAGCAAATAGGCGTCGACAAATTTTCTGTTACGTAATTCCTGTACTATACGACTATCTCAGACCAGGTTGGTACTACTTTCGATAACCATGGCACTTACGGAGTCAATGCCAAGAATCTCAATGAGGAAGATCCGAGGTTTGAATTCAAATTGGGGCTTCTTCAGTTACCATACTGCCTTTCGCTCGATTTAACCTGAACGTAGAATTCGAGGAGACGACCAAGTCGCCAAAGCCTGATTACCATGTCCCCTTTGATAGCAGACAACAGTTGTTTAAACAACTTTTCCATAACGTCCTGCCAGTGACTCAAGGTCGTCGAGTTGGATGAATCACCCTGTAGCTGACGAGTGAATATGTGAACAAGTTACGCTTATCTGCCTTGCCTTGGCCATTTCTAGGACCGTCCTTAAAGAAGGAAAAAAACTGTTCAGTGTCAATCATCGTCATAGCTTATCGACTCCAAAGAAGACTATTGGCTCCCTGTATCTGTTCGTAATTCTATTCCAATAAATAAGAACACTTTTTCCTCCAATTTCCAGTCTCTTTTGCAATGTTGAACTCTGATCTTTCTAATACGTGATTGGAAGGTACAACTAGATTATTCTTGGGCCCTAGACCTCAATCATCATTATACGAACTGTCCCACCTACGGTTCACTTCACCATTTTTCCTACTTTAATACAATTATAATTCAGTGATAAACTACAAAGGCAAGCAAAGAACCGTTCACATCTGATTAAGGAAAACCGTCTAGAGGCTAGAATCTAGACCCATGGTTGATACAGGTACAGTTACTCATCCTTGAGGTGTACCACCAGACATTCCCAAATATTTGTCAATCCATTCCAGTTACATAAACGATTAAACTATCATTTTTACTCTGTACATTAAACTTTCCACATCGAATAGTGGCGCCTTTCCCAACGGGCAGTAATCGAGATAATGTACATCCGAAGGGAAATCGCCTTCCGCCCGCCATTAGAAAGGTTTCATCTCGATTCGCTCGCGCGCCTAGTTGCCAGGGCATCGTGTGGACGAGGAGCGGTGCAAATCAATGGACGACTGTGGAAGAGGAGGTGAAAGAGGGGAGAGCAACGTTCGAGGCTGTCAATGGCTGCCAGTTGTCTCGGCTACGAAGGTGTCAAGGACCCCGGTGCGCTTCTAAAATTGTACGCGCGCGTATCCCGAAGCGGTCACGGCGCGCTGCGCCTCGGACGAAGGAGAAGGGCGCTCCGTCGACGAGTCGAGCGGTCAAGTTGAAGGTCGGCCGACGCGGGAAAAGCCGATGGCCAGGCCAGCCGCGGTCCCACTGCGCCCTTATTCCCGCTTGGGCCCGACGATCACACGGAGGCCCTTCTGCTCGCGAGCAATGCGGAACTCCCGAGCCAAGGTCAGCCCCAGCAGAGCGGTTTCTACTTTTTCTACCTCTTCGACCGAGTCCAACTCCCCTCGGTCTTTTCCTTCTGTTTCGTCACGGCTGGATCCTCCTGTCGTCCCCTCGAAATGTACAAAGAAAATGTGCGTTTGAAGATACAGAGACATTTGTAGCCATTAATTTCAGGGATCCAATGAATTTAGGTGAATACGATGCTTTTTGAGTAGGTATGTGTTCGCTTCATATTTTGGAAATGAGGTTTGTTGATTGTCGAGTACTATCGGCCAAAAATATGGGACCAGAGTTCATGATTGATGGAACATGAACTCATTTGTTGTGTTGGGATATAATGAACAGATATGGAATCTGTGCGTATACAAATCATTTTCGATTAGTTTTAGCATATTACTGTTATAAAATCTTTGTGGAATAATATATTTTGTTTTTGTTTAATTAGCAGACCTGGTACTATACTTTTGCCCGGTAGTGTAGTCAGTTTGAATTATGTTTGATCAGTTGGAGCTGCAGTGGGACTTTAGAATCGGTGTCCGGAAGTAGTGTCTGTCGCACGGCCCTATTCGTCACGGCTCGTTTAATCGGCAAAGAGACTGAAGTCGGTGATGTTTCTTTTTTTAAGAAGGAGACGATTATTTTTCCTTAGATAATTAGCTACCAACAATCTGGGACCGTGCTCGTTTGACAATTCTCTCTCTGGCTTGAAGGTCTATAACTTGAATTGTATACGTCTCTAAAATTATCGAATATCTACATGCAATATTTCATACATATCATTACAAGCTTACGTACTATCATCTTACAAGATCCCGTTAAAATCGAAGCCGGAGAGTTGGGATCATTCCCTAGTGAGAGGAAACAGAAAAACCGGTTGATAATTTGAAATTTACGAAACAGTCAATCAGCATTGGAAAAAGACTTGAAACGACCGGTCAGTGATTCGAAAGTCTTGAAATAAAATACCACTTGAGAAGTAAGGGTGAAAGATTCGAAACTGCCCAGAAACAACCAGATTCACGGTGATTTGTTGCGCTTCAGCAATGCGGAACTCGGATCCAAGGTCGTGACACGACTCTTCCTTTTCTCCTCTTCCTCCTTCTTCGTCAGTTTCCAACCCTCCTCTGGTTCTCCGTTATGCTTCAGTATCGCCGCTTATCTCACGCCTACCACCTTCAACTTCCGGCGGAAGTGGCCGGTAACGGGTCATTTTCTTCTTCGTCCATCGGGAGATAAGGGTGCTTCGATATAGCCTCTACGAATTCCTTCCTTCCGCGCCACTTATAAACGAGTCGTTCAATGATTTGTAAATATTCTCGTGAAAACTTTCTATCTCTCGCTGGTACATGGATTTCACCAATGAAAAATCTTCTAACGCCTCAGAAATGCAGAAAAATCGAACTTAACTGACATGAATTATAGAAATCATCTCTCTAGTTCGTCGCCCGAGTTTTTAACTGTTCTACCTCCATTTTTAAAAAAAATGTAGTTAATCAATCTACTTCTCATTAGTCCAAATAATACAAATTCACCATAATATAAAGAAAATTCAACCTAGAAAGCAACAAATATTCTTTCAAATCCTAACTCCGAAAGATTGAAAGTTTTTTTTTCTCTTAATAGTTGTATTCCCGAATACTAACAACAATTAAAAATTTATGTTGATAGTAAAACAAAATTTTGTGAAATATTGTAATAAATAGCTATTCAGTAGATGATACTATAGTGTTTTTGATTACTTCACTACTTTCCTGCTTCCATAACATTAAAGTTCGTCAACCTTGAACTCAGTTTTCTCAGTTTAGAAACAACTAAGAACTAGAGTGACGAATTGTTTTATCTTTCGAATGGATACATAAGAAATATAGCAAAAATTCGTATTGTTAATGAAGCATTAAAATTTTATATTTTAAGTTTCGTTGAATTCGTTGTTCAACTGTACCAGAAAAATTTGTTATTACTTGTGGGGCATACAATTGATAACCTCGTGATGAGGAAAGTATTCGGGGGGATTCACTTCTAGAAAGTACTCGTCAATTTCACCATCGATATTAATTCGCTGAGAAGCTATATAGGAAGTGCAAGAGCCGACGGATCCCGTAGCTCAGCAATTTTCTCCAACGGTTATTTCGCTGGCTCAGCCCGTTCATGTCAATGCCTTCGCGAAACCATAGATCCCGACGGTTAGAAACTGCCAATTTCCGTTTCGGCTGTTGCGACAAACGATATTTTTCTACGGAACTGAATCTTTCGCAACAGAACACTATCGTTATCCATTCAGAATACGACAAAACCTGTCCTTAGAGAGGAAAATTGATCACGGAAACGAAGACTCGATTCAGACGCAAAGTAGGAAATATATGTATGTTATACTTTTCAGACGATCTGTAGAATGAAATTCGTGAACATACGAAAATCACGGAGAAAAAACACGATAGGTCTAATTTTATTGATCTTCTGATTTTTGTCATTTGGTAGCTAAGAAAGGGAATTTTAATATAATATAGTTGAAATTGGGAATAATCAGTCAAATCCAAAGATACAAGTCTTTTAAAAATAGATGTAAAATAATTTCATTCACATTAAACTCAACAGGAGGAAAAAGTTGATAATTTCACGGAGTTTTGTAAAAGAACCAAAGACACAACGAATATTACGACAATTTATGTTTTTGAAATGTTCGAGAGGGTAACAACTAATGTCTAAGAGCATGTTTAAGTACAAAACGAAATAAAAACACAGTTCTGGTAATATCGAATTGGTTGAAAGCGTTTTGAATATTAAAATTGTTCCCCTATAAAAAATGGAAAATATCGAATGAA